ACGTCTATGAGGAATGACTCTACTTCATATCCGGCGTCTTCACGTCCTCAGTACACATATGGTCAGATCCTGTTCATCAGTTGCTCAAAAACAAGATGGACGACCAGCCAGTCGAACACAAGGCTTCAAACTATCCCTAAGAAATAATCACGTCTAGTGCATGACACACACACACACACACACACCTCCTCTGCTTGCGGTCCACCTCGTGCATGCGGCTCTGGAGGCTGTCGGTGAGGACGCGGGCGTCCTGGAGGTCGGAGGTCACCCGGCGACAGTGACGTTTCAGGTCTGTCACGCTGCGCCTGGACTGCTCCAGCAGGGCCTGCAGGGCGACCACCTGCACACACACACACACAGACACACACACACACACACACAGACACAGACACACACACACACAGACACACACGCGTTACCCTCGGGGCTCTTTGATGTCCCGTTGGCGTTGCCATGGCGCTCCGCCTCACCTTGGCGTCCAGCTGCTGTCGGCTCTGTCTCTCCGTCTCCAGCTTCTCCTCCGTCTGCTTCAGCCGCCTGCGGACGAACTCCACCTCCGTCTGGCTGCACTCCAGCTGCATGGCGAGCTCGCTGTCTGTGTGCGAGACCGTGATCAGCTAGGAACCCGCGCGGGGGTCCGAATGAGTCCCGCTCCACGACACCAAGTCACTACGTTCAGTCACAAGTCGTCGTTTAACGTATTACGGGATGCTTTCACGTGTGTAACGGACGTGTCACCTGAGGCCCGTCCTCGCTGACCCTCGGCCACCTGAGCCTTCTGTTTCCCCTCCTCCAGCTGCTTCTCCAGGGTCTCCATGGTGACCTTAGACTGGTCCAGACGAGCCTGACGTCACCACGGAGGGAGGAGAGAGATTATATATGTATATATGTGTATATATGTGTGTGTTTATACACAATAGCTTTACCTGCAGGTCTTTGTTCTCCCTGCCGAGCCGGATCCTCTCGGCCCTCTCCACATCCAGAGCCTGACCCGCCGCGTCGCCACGGAAACGCTCATCGCTCAGCTCAGAGGTGACGGCGGTGATCTGCACACACACACACACACAACATGAGTGTGTGTGCGTGTGTGCGTGTGTGTGTGTGCGTGTGTGTGCGGCACACACCTTGGTCTCCAGGCCGTCGGCGGTCTGCCTCAGCTCGTTCCTCTCGCGCTCGGATTTCTGCAGGCGACGTCTCAGAGCCGATACCTCATCCTCACAGGAGGAAGAGGAGGGAGAGGAAGAGGAAGGTGACATGTCTGAGCAGCAGAACCTCAGTACGTGTGTGTGTTGCTACAGTGGTTGTTCATAGCAACGCTGCACGTGTGAAGCTGTAGATGAGGGTCCTCGGGGGGTTCAGGTGTGAGGGGCGGTAACATGGCTAGCTAGAGCTGCCTGTTCTCACCTCCACAGTAGTGGTTATCAATAAGTTTACTGATAACTTCTATCTACTGTTGCTACCAGTGTGCGTGTGCGTGTGTGTGTGCGTGTGTGTGTGTGCGTGTGTGTGTACCTCTTTCACACGGAGACGTTCGTTTTCCATGTTGACGTCGAGCTGAGGACGAATTCTGCAGAAAAGTTTCCACCAGCTCCACTTGGACACGACCCAGAGAGCCCTCAGGTTCCTCTGGACACAGCTGACCGCCATCTGCTGCACCTGGTCACACACACACACACACACACACACACACACACACACACACACACACACACACACACAGAGTCACCATAAGAGAAACACAGCTTTGAATTCAAAATGTTGTTGCCATTTGTTTTTTAGCAACTACTGAACAGGAAGTGACCACATGGTCTGAGGAGGATGTAGAGACGTCATATACGTCTCTGGTAGACCTGTCAATCATTGTGTTGCCCCGCCCTAAAACGTCCCCTGCTTCATGGTCTGTTTGACTCTAAATCAGGGGTCTCAAACTCAAGTCAGGTACGGGCCAGATGCAGCCCACCTTGACCGAACGCGGGCCAGACCATTATGGCCGACGGGGGGATGACACTGACGGTCCGACCGGCGAACGGAACGGTCGGCGCTGGGGTGGAGGTTGTAAGTGGCTGCTAACAGCGAGGTTGCTACAATATAGAACTCGCGGGCCGCACTAACATTACACTTTCATATGAAGGCGGGGGCCACAAAATATCGTCCCGAGGGCCGCAATTGGCCCGCGGGCCGCGAGTTTGAGACCCCTGCTTTAAATGGACCATAATTCACTAAATGAACATCACGCTGTGTTGAAGAAGACTTGAAACTAGAGACTGAGACCATAAACTCATGTTTACAATGTTTACTGAGGGAATAAATCAAGAGAGAAGTAGAGTCATTTCCTCATAGACGTCTATGGGAGCAGAGGAGTCGCCCCCTGCTGGTCACTACAGAGAAGTAGAGTCATTTCCTCATAGACGTATATGGGAGCAGAGGAGTCGCCCCCTGCTGGTCACTACAGAGAAGTAGAGTCATTTCCTCATAGACGTCTATGGGAGCAGAGGAGTCGCCCCCTGCTGGTCACTACAGAGAAGTAGAGTCATTTCCTCATAGACGTCTATGGGAGCAGAGGAGTCGCCCCCTGCTGGTCACTACAGAGAAGTAGAGTCATTTCCTCATAGACGTCTATGGGAGCAGAGGAGTCGCCCCCTGCTGGTCACTACAGAGAAGTAGAGTCATTTCCTCATAGACGTCTATGGGAGCAGAGGAGTCGCCCCCTGCTGGTCACTACACAGGATGCAGCTTTAACACGTGAAGCTTCACTTGACTCTAAAGAAGCAGAGATTGCCTCCTGGGTCAGTTGGAGCTCCCCGGGGGGCCACTGACCTTGAGTCTGCGGTACCGCTGGCGGGCCAGGTGAGCCATGCAGGCAGCCTGCAGGTGGAGCAGCCAGCCGGTGACCTGCCGGTCCCTCTGCTGCTCCAGGTAGCGCAGCACGCCTCGCTTCATGAACACCTGGGACCGAGAGGAGAAGATATTCCGTGACTTTCCTCTCAACAGGCGGGTTCAATGCCCCAGTGGGGGGGGGGGGGGGGTCCTCTCACCCTGCTGGAGCCCACCACGATGCTCCTCCGGTCCAGATCCAGCTCCACCAGCAGCTCCTCCACCGCCTGAGACACACACACAGAGGAACTCACTCAGGCCGAAGGTCGGAGGGTTAGGGTTAGCGTGAGCTACGTGCGACCTCTGACCTTTCTCTCGTCGTGGCTGACAAACATGGAGGCGTAGCGCTTCATGATGGGGGGCGACAGCGCCTGGAAGTGGCAGCGGAAGTCGCTGAGAGTCATGTGCTCCGGATAACCTGGGGGAGAAGTCACGTATTATTATCAGTCGCCACATACGGCTGATTATAACGTCTTAAAACATAAAGCTCCGTGTTGGTTTTCTGTGGTGGTTTCTATGTTTTCTTATTTTTACTCTTTGTTGTTTTATTTAACTTTTATCCATTTTGGTGGAACTGTTGCACTTTATTCACTTGAATTAATCTCATTACCATCATGTTCTATTTTGCAATGCTGTTCGATACGTTCAATAATTGTTATTTATATTTTAATTCCAGTAACATATATTTTGTGGAACAACAATTCATCCTCATAATACACATTTTGATCTGTTGCTCAGACCCGTTATTGTTGGATACTGTTGTTTACATCAATCATTCGCAGAGCTTCTTTTCTGAGTATTGATTGATTGATCTGTACACATCCTGCGTCTCCGGACGCCGGCTGTTTAAGACGAAGAGCGTAACGATGAAGTGAGGACCTGTGCGGTGGAGCTGCAGGGCCGGGAGGATCTGGGTGGAGTGCAGCTGGACTCGGAGCGCCGCCACGTCGAAGTTGCCGCCGTCCGCCTTGGCGCTCACGCACTGCAGGAAGACGGGCCGGGCGCGGCGCATCAGGTTCACCAGCGCATCCTGCGGGGGCGGAGACAGAGGGGCCGGGTTACGAGGAGGTAACAGCCCGTGTGAGGTGAGGCTCGCCCCCGGCTCACCGCCTGCAGCTTGACGGCGATGCTCTGGGAGTGGCGGCGTACGGCCGCCATCCCGCTGCTGAAGGTCTTCCTGATGGTGCCGTTCCTCTGCAGAGAGCGCTGGCTGCTGCCGCCCTCCAGGCCCCCCAGGCCCCGACACAGGGGGGGCAGCGAGATCCTCTGGGTGAACATGGCCTTCACCTCTGGGCTGAGGACGAGCAGGAGAGGAGCAACGTCAGGACGCAAAGACCGCGTGAAGATGGAAGATGGATGGACGTGCGGACACACACTCACATGCTGGAGTTCTGCAGCACGCCGCTGGCGTTCAGGGCCGACGGGTTGTTCTGGATCAGACCGACCCAGCCGCTCAGGTCGTAGCGAACCGGGTCGCAGCCCATCAGGTGGCTCACCTCACACTGCAGGGGCTGCTCGCACTGACGCACTGCAGGGACACGCACGCACACACACATGCATATATCAGCAGCTCCTCCTTACAACACACACACACACACGGGGCGTTTAAGTACCCGTGTTGCTGTAATACTGGCAGACCCTCTGCAAGGCGACGCTCTCATTGGAGGCCGGTGACATCATCTCCTCGTCCAGAACCCACAGCAGACCTCTGGGGTCTCCATCAGCCGCCCGGACCTTCACACACACACACACACACACACACACACACACACACACACACACACACGCAGGACAAAGCATCACCACAAAAGAGCAGCAGACTGTAGAGGTGTAACCTGCGTTGGAGAAGAGATGTGTGTACCTGCGGCGGCGGCTGGTCGATGGCGGACGCCACCTCGTCCGGACTCTTCTCCGGACCCTCCGCCTCCACCGGGATCTTCTCCTGCAACACACGACACCGGGAGGCCCGTAAGGAGACGGCGGCGGGACAGAAAACCCGATGGCGGCGAGCGAGCCGGCGAGTGACATCACAGACCTGCGCGTAGCGCTGCAGCGCGTGCGTGAAGGTGTGCGCGTGGTGGCGCTGCAGCAGCCGCTCCTGCAGGTAGTTGTGGCAGAACTCGGACCAGCCGGCGGCCCGCTCCCCTCCGCTGTGCCTCGGGTTCCGGAGGCCCGGCGGGTCCACCACCATCACCGAGGCCAGCGTGAGCTGAGGACTGCTGAGGGCCCTGCACAACAGACACACACACAGACACACACACAGACACACGCGTTCACAGGGTGTGTAGAACACGCCAGCAGCTGGCCGCGATGAGGAGAACCAACGTTGTTCTCACGGTCGAGGTCAAGTCATTATGAGCGGCGGAGAGAAAGTTATAGAAATGACATGTAATGTAATCACATGTAATGTGATGTAATGACATGTAATGTAATAACATTTAATGTGATGTAATGTGATGCAATGACATGTAATGTAATAACATGTAATGCGATGTAATGACATGTAATGTAATGATATGTAATGACATGCGATGTAATGACATGTAATGTAATAACATGTAATGTGATGTAATGACATGTAATGTAATGTAATGTGATGTAATGACATGTAATGTAATAACATGTAATGCGATGTAATGACATGTAATGTAATGTAATGTAATGTGATGTAATGTGATGTAATGACATGTAATGTAATAACATGTTTAAAAGTCTGTCAGGTTTGTTAATGTCTTCAATCAGCCCCAATCCTCCAGGTCCATTCTGAGTTACACTTTTCTCTTTTGGGTTGAAAACTATTACAATCAAAATATAATAATAATAGATATTATTATTATTATTATTAGTAGTAGTATTATAGATCATCGTATAGTTTTATTTGTCGTCATATTTTTATTTCAAGGACCAATAACAGTTCATCTTAATCGCCTGTTGGACCTTATAGCTGTTTAATAATCGGTGATTTAATCATCATCAACATCTACTAAAGACTGCATCCCCCACAATGCCTCAGGAGACCAGGCTGACCTGTTGATGAGCGACACGACGGAGGTGAAGAGCTCCTCATAGAGTCCGGCGGCCATTCCCTTCACGCACTGAGCGGCCGTCATTCTGGGACCTG